GGGTGGGCCGCGCCGGGCTTCAGGCCGTTGCGGCCGGGGAGCCCAGGGCCCTCGCGGCGCGAATGTGGGAGGCCCGAGGCCGAGTGCAGGGACAAGCCTCGCACGTGCCTGCGCCGAGGTCCTCGGGACGCAGTGCCGGTGGCAGCCCCGGGTTACTTTAGGAGGAAAGTTGCAGGGCGACCTCGAGGCCTGGTGGCGCCCTGGTGTGAGCAACTGTCCAAGTCGGTACCCCAGAAAGGCCAGGGAGCTCCACCCTAACCCGTGCACCGCCTTGAGCGGGCCGCAGACCGTTCACGGGGAAAAGGCGTTTCCAGAACCAGTGTCGGGTTCTCCGATGGTGCCGTGTCGCCTGGTAAAACGCCTCCCTCAGTAAACCTGAAACGGCGGGAGGAAAGCGCGCTGGGGTGGGTCGTGCTTTCGCTGCTGCGAGTCCCGCCTACCGCTCAGTTCAGCAAGTTTTCTGATCAGGTTTTGGCAGTGGGACGCGGTGAGGGATAAGGCAGGCCTGGTTTCCACCCGCAGAGCCCCTGTTTAGACCGTCCACCCCTTAGGGCGACTACCGCATTGTTTCACGTGTTTGTTTTTGTCTCCAGCAACAGTATCAGAGCGCTCTATTCTGGGCAGATAAAGTAGCTTCACTCTCTCATGGTAAGTGACAGATGCTAATGTTTTTCAGATTAATGTTAGAATCTTTCTGTTCACCTGGCATTTAGGGTCATTCTTGTCATTTTCCCTCAGAGGAGCCCCAGGACATTTACAGGTTGGCTCAGTGCCTTTACCTGACAGCACAGTATCATAGAGCAGCCCATGCACTTCGGTCTCGAAAACTGGACAAAGTGAGTAATCTGTGGACTCTTCAACTTTCCATAGCTTCAACAAAGATGAGTATTTTATTTAATTATTTAGAGAGTATTTTTTCTATAGGGCACTTGAATTTGCTAGAGACACAGAGAGAAAGTGAGAAATCACCCCTCCTCAGTGGAGATAGCCGTGCTGCAATCCCTTCTCTGCTCTCGGCATTTTGGGCATGCACGTGCACACTCACTTGGCATGAGTTTTAATCCCCCGAGTCCAGGACTCGAATTGTGGTGGATCATATGGGAGTTCAGTGCCTGAACTGCTACACCACCTGTTGGCCTCCAGATTAATATTTTAAGTATATGTCCCATTTATGTATAAAAATTATTTAAAATCATTAATTTTTAGTAAATATGATGAAATTTGTTTCTTTTCTTTCTTTTTTTTTTTTTTTTGGAGAGATTTTTCGTTATAGGGTGCGTGTGCTCGCCAGACAGACAGAGAGAGATAGAGAGACAGAAAGCGAGAAATCCCCCCCCAGGGGGATGGTCACGCGGCAGTCCCTTCTCCAGTCTCCTCTCAGGATCTTGGGCATGCACGCACATGTGCCCGGCGTGAGTTTTAAGCCACCGGCTCCGGGATGCGAACTGTGGTTGACTACATGGGAGTCCAGTGACATAGCCATTACGCTAACTGCTGGTTCCCGAAATTTGTTTCTTTATGTTACCTGTTTTTCCCTCCTTCGCTTCACCCTTATCTAGTCACGAGGTTTTGGAAGTCCTGTCCCGTCCCTGCCCTGCCCTGCCCTGCCCTGCCCTGCCCTTTCCTTTCCTACCAGAGGGAGGTATACACCAGAAAGAGTAAGTTCCCTGACCCTCTCAGTGGGGCCTGGTCATCCAACAATCCCTTTTCTTCCACTCTTCTCTCCGTCAGGATCCTGGGCACACACCTGCGTGTGTCCTGCAGACCCACAAAGCCTCAGGAGCTGGGATTCAAACTGCAGTCAGCCCCACGGGGTCCAGCTCCCACCACAGTGTGTAACCACTGCACTAGAGGGTTGGTCCTGGAAATTCCGTTTCCCCAAAACTTGGAAGTTGTAGATGTTCCTTTCCATTTTCTCACCACTCATACACTTCAGGCCTTTCGTTTATTTTCTGTTTTGTTACAGGCTGTCTTCATGTCTCGTCTTCAGTAACGTTTTCTGCCTTCCGACCTTCCCTGTTTCTAGTTCATCTTGCATACTGTCAGAGTGGTCTTCCTAAAACACAGGTCTGAGTATAATCTCCCACGACATTATTCAGTGATTCCCCTTTAGGGTAAAACAGGTACAGAAATGGAGGCCTGATGTCCTCCGATTTCTCTCTAGCCCCATCTAACCCACATTGCAGTGCATGCAGCGTGTGCTGCAGTCATGCTGAGCTGCTCTGAGTCCCTTGGACCTGCAGTCATGCCCTCAGGGCTTGGCATGCTGCAGCCTCCACACCCGCTCCTTAGTTCACCCTATCCCCTGCAGATACCTTCTCCTCCAACTGCCTACAGCTTTTCTTGCTCCTTCACAGTCTCTCTTCCCCACTAAGACCTCCTAAGGCAGTTCCATTCTCCCTTTTGAATCCTTGTGTCTAGTAAACAGGTTCATGATGAAGATAGGTTAAAAGACTAGGTTTGGGGTCAGTAGGCCTGGTGGTTAAGGTGCCAGGTCCCATGTGACCAGCTCTATTGTACCAGTCCCAGACCCAGCGGCTTGGAAGACACTCTAGGCATATGTGTGTGCGTGCCCCAGATCCCCGAGAGTAGAGGGGAAGAGACTGGTGTGGCCACCCCCTTGAGGGGTGATTTCTTGCTTTCCCTCTCTCTCTTTCTCTCTGTCCATCTCTGGCAAGCTTATATGCCCTATGGCAAAATTAAAAAAAAAAAAAAAAGACTGGGTTTTTCTTTTTATAATTGCGAGAGTAAAAGAAATTAGGAAAAATACCTCTTTCCTTTTCATGCTTATAGTTCTTTTTTTTTTGGAGAGGTTTTTGCTATAGGGCGTGTGTACTCGCCAGAAAGACAGAGACAGAAAGTGAGAAATCATCCCCCAGGGGGGATGGCCACGCCATAATCCCTTCTCCTCGTGGGATCTTGGGCACACGTGCCCGGCGTGTGTTTAAGTTGCTGGGTCCGGGACTTGAACCATAGTCGACTATGTGGGAGTCCAGCGACATAGCCATTACACTAACTGCTGGTCCCTCATGCTTATAGTTCTTTGAAAGTGAAGATATATTATTGGGGCCACCATTTAAATGGATTAATTTCTTTCCTAGCTGTATGAAGCATGCCGTTACCTTGCGGCTAGATGCCATGTAAGTATACTGTTTCATTTTTACTTGTTGGAAGTTTGATTATGTAAATGTTGGGCATCTTGTATGTGAGAATTTTAGTGATGGAGCTTGGTGGGTTAGAAAAGAATTTCAAGAGAAAATGTTCTTTGGGCGATTTGGTGTAAAATGTTGATTCTTCACTTACTAAAAGTTTGCATGAAGAAAATTCTGCTTTATATATTTTAAATTTAAGTATGAAATATTTATTTTCCTTTTAAAATTCAGAGCACGTGCACATTTATTTAGTACTAGAAGTTGCAGGTAATGAGCTGTGTTTCTGTTTTCTGCACAGTATGCTGCAAAAGAGTATCAGCAGGCCCTCGATATCCTTGATATGGAGGAACCAATCAATAAGAGATTATTTGAAAAATATTCAAAGGATGAAAGTGGTCTGAAAGACCCCCCCGGTGACTGGGAGACGTCACAGGCCTCGGTAAGTTGTAGCGATGTGTGTGTCAGAGTGCCGGGAGGAGCTCTCGTGCTGAGCTGCTGGCTTCCACTCGGGTGGTACCGTATTGAAGTAGTTAGGGTTGGCACTTGCTGAGTCTGCTCGCCCAAGCAGGAAGATTCTGGGGCGTCTCCAGTCTATCAGTCTGAAGCTGTAATTGTGCCCGCGGATGCCTCTATCTGAGAGAGACTGGCTTGAGGTCTTCCTTCTCCTGTTTGCTACCTGACGCTTCTCCTCACAGAAAGAGTAGCCCCCTTTTTTCTGTGCAGCGACAGTTCTAGAACCTACTCCAGTTCACTTTTTTAGTTAACTTAGATTATGTCTGGGAAGTGGTTTGGTATTGCTATTTACCTTGCAATACATTGTTATTTATGTTATTTTGTGTATTTCTGTTTGTATACTTCATATTTCCATGAAATTGCAAATTCTTTCTTCTTAGAAACTGTATAATAAAAACTTTCTTTTTTTTGAGAGAGAGAGAAAGAGATTTTTGCCATAGGGTGCCTGCACTCACTGGAGAGACAGAGAGGCAGAAAGTAAGAAATAACCACCCAGGGGCATGGCGACGCCATAGTCTTTTCTCCTCCATTCTCCTCTTGGGATTTTGGGTACACACTCAAATGCACCTGCCACATGTTTCAAGCTGCTGAGTCCAGGACTCAAACCATGGTTGGCCATGTGGGAGTCCAGCTGCGTAACCATTGTGCCATCTGCTGGTCCCATGTATGATACAACTTGATAAATGATACCCAGCAGCCACAATGGCGGCATAGTGGTGGAAGTGAGATGCTCTACAAGACTGAGGGTGTGGACGGGTTCTGGATTTGCTAGTAGAGACTACCTAATACAGTGGGCACACACATGCCCATGATCGGAGTGGTGGGCTGGGCATCAAGACTCTGTTGAGGGTGCTCGCTTCCCCTCCATCTTTCACTCACAGAAGAAATAGATGATTTTTCTTTTTTAACTCAGAGGGCACGTGTGCTGGCGAGAGAGAGAACATACACCAGCCAGCCCACTCCCAGATAGGGCACGGCTATGCCGTAGCCCCTTCTCTGCATGTGCCTGGCATGTTTCCAAGCCTCCAAACGGATGTCAGCCATGTGGAATCTGGCCTCCCTGACCACTGGGGTATGGGGCCAGCCTATAATAAATGATACCCAAGGTCAGATCTTTAATCTAGACTGCTACTCCTTTTTTTTGAAAGGAAAACAAAATACATTCTTTTGTGCCAACTGGTGCCATGGTGGTTAAGCAGCTGGATTCCACATTGCTGAGTGGTGGTTCATGTTCTGGACCTAGCAGCTTGAGAAGTATGCTAGGCACCTGTGTGTGTCCAGAATGATGAGAGGAGGATGTAGAAGGGATTGTACCGTGCTCATGCCCCCGGGAGGAGCTTTCTCACTCTCTTTCTGTCTCCAGCAAGCATATGTATCCTATAGCAAATTATTTAAAAGGGGGGCGGGGCTAGCAGATAGCATAATGTTTATGTAGCTGGACTCCTACATGGCCAACCATGGTTCAAGCCTGGACCCAGTGGCTTAAAACTCACTCTGGGCATGTGTGCATGCATGCCCAAAGTCCCAATAGGAAAATGGAGGAGAGGGCTTGCAGTGTGGCCATCCCTCTGGAGGGCTCATTTCTAGCTTTATCTGTCTCTTTCTTCGGCAAGCACACACACACTACAGCAAAAATCTCTCAAAAAAGAAGACATTTTTATGAGATGTAATTCTCATACTATGTAGTTCATCCTTTTAGAATGTATAGTTTGATGGGGTTTTTTAGAGAAAGTTTTGCTATAGGGTGTGTGCTCTTGCTGAAGAGACAGGAAGTTAGAAATCACCCCCTAGAGGGGATGGCCACACCACAATCCCTTCACCATTCTCTTGGGATATTGGGCATGTACATGCACACACCCGGTGTGAGTTTCAAGTTTCTGGGTCTGGGAATCAACTGCAATCGACTGCGTGGGAGTCCAGTGACATAACCGCTACGCCATCTGCTTGTCCCCATTTTGATGGTTTTTAACATATTCACAGAGCTGTGCAAACCTTATCATGGTCAATATTAGAATATGTTGGGACCAGCAGTAGGTGTAATGGCTATGTCGCTGGACTCCCACGTAGTCGACCACGGTTCACGTCCTGGACCCGGTGGCTTAAAACTCACACCGGGCGCGTGTGCGGGTGTGCCCAAGATCCCCAGAGGAGAAAGAAAGAGAAGGGATTGTGGCGTGGCCATCCCCCCGGGGGGTGATTTCTCGCTTTCTGTCTCTCTGTCTCTCTCTGTCTGGTGAGCACACGTGCCCTATAGCAAAAATCT